TCATCTCCTGCTCCCTCTCCCATTCCATTCACATCAAGATTCATTTTCAATTATCTTTATATACAGAAGATCGATTTAGTATATATTAAGTAAAGATTTCATCAGTTTGCATCCACACAGAACACAAAGTGTAAAATACTGTTTCAGTACTAGTTATAGCATTACTTCACATTGGACAACACATTAAGGACAGATCCTACACGAGAAGTAAGTACACAGTGATTCCTGTTGTTGACTTAACAATTTGACACTCTTGTTATGGTGTAATCTCCCTAGGCTCTAGTCATGAGTTGCCAAGGCTATGGAAGCCTTTTGAGTTCACCAACTTCGATCTTATTCCGACAGGGTCATAGTCAAAGTAGAAGTTCTCTCCTCCCTTCAGAGAAAGGTACCTCCTTCTTTGATGGCCCTGTTCTTTCCACCGGGATCTCACTCACAGAGATATTTCATTTAGGTCTTCTTCTTCTTTTTTTTTTTTTTTTTGGCAGAGTGTCTTGGCTTTCCATGCCCAAAATACTCTCATGGGCTCTTCAGCCATATCTGAATGCCTTAAGGGCTGATTCTGAGGGCCAGAGTGCTATTTAGGACATCTGCCATTCTATGAAGTCTGCTGTGTATCCTGCTTTCCATGATGGATCGTTTTCTCCCTTTTTAATTCTATCAGCTAGTATTAGCAGACACTAGTTTTGTTTGTGTGATCCCTTTGACTCTTAGACCTATCAGTGTGATCAACTGTGAACTGAAGTTGATCACTTGGACTAGTGAGATGGCATTGGTACATATTACCTTGATGGGATTGTATTGGAATCCCCTGGCACGTTTCTAACTCCACCATTAGGGGCAAGTCCGATTGAGCATGTCCCAAATTTTACATCTCCTCCCTCTCTTATTCCCACTCTTATATTTAACAGGGATCACTTTTCAGTTAAGTTTCAACACTTAAGAATAATTGTGTGTTAATTACAGAGTTCAACCATTAGTACTAGAAAAAAAATACTAAAATGGATAAAGTATTACATTGCACATCAACAGGACAAGAGCTGATCAAGTCATTGTTTCTCATAGTGTCCCTTTCACTTCAACAGGTTTCCCCTTTGGTGCTCAGTTAGTTATCACTGATCAGGGAGAACGTATGATATTTGTCCCTTTGGGACTGGCTTAATTCACTCAGCATAATGTTTTCCAGATTCCTCCATCTTATTGCAAATCACCAGATTTCATTGTTTTGTTCAATATCACTAGCAATCAGGGAAATGCAAATTTTTTTAAAGATTTTATTTATTTATTTGAGAGGTAGAGTTACAGACAGTGAGAGGAAGAGACAGAGAGAAAGGTCTTCCTTCCATTGGTTCACCCCCCAAATGGCTGCAATGGCAGGAGCTGCACCGATCTGAAGCCAGGAGCTTCTTCTGGGTCTCCCACTCATGTGCAGGGGCCCAAGCACTTGGGCCATCTTCCACTGCCTTCCCAGGCCATAAAAGAGAGCTAGATTGGAAGAGGAGCAGTTGGGACTAGAACTGGCACCCATATGAGATGCTGGTGCTGCAGGTGGAGGATTAACCTACTGCACCACGGTGCTGGCCTCTATAGCCTTTTTTTTCTTAGCATTTACATGTAAGACAGTGCATTTTCTGTCAATAACGTTTATATTATCTTCAGTCAGTTAAAAATATTTTTACTGTATCCTTCAAATTATGTGTATTATCTACATAGGTAAGGTGAAAAGACCATAAGGAAATGCCCCCCAAATTTTAAGATAGTATCACCATTTCTTAACCTCTAAATGATCAGGCATTTCATCAGTATATGCTGTATGAATGTCTTGAAATATCACACTGTGCCTGCTGAATATATACAGTTGTTACATGTTAACCAAAATTTTAAGGGGCAGGATTTGGTGTAGCAGTTAGGATGCTACATGGGACAATTGCATCCTATATCGTACTGCCTGGGTTAGAATCCCATATTGAATTATAGGCTCCTAGCTTTAGCCTGGCCCAGGCTTGGCTATTGCAAGTGTTTGGGGAGTGAACCTGGAGAGATGAGACCTCTCTCTGTCTCCTCTCTGCCTTTCAAACAAATAAAAATTAATAAAACTTTAAAAATAAAATATTAAGAAAGAATTGTATTTATGGAATACTTGGAATCTGTTCTCTTCCTATTAATACAAAATTTACAATAAATGAACAAAAAATTAAGAATGATAAAATATTTTCTAATGGTCATAATTTCTTGTTTTACTTCTAGATTATTCTTAACTGGATTCTCAAATTCCAAAAATCAAGGTACTTGAGAGTTCATAGAAAAAATGCAATTAAAATGTTTATTTTGGAACAAAAATATTGAAATTCATGCATCGTCCCCCCCCCCCCCCAAATACACATTTTCATGAATTCTTTGAAGATCGTTGCTGAAGCCAAGAGGCTGGAACTCTATCTGGGTCTGTCACATGAGTGGGAGGGGCCAAGTACTTGGGGCCAACTTCCACTGCTTTCCTGGAACATCAGCAGGGAGCTGGACTGGAAATGGAGCACAGGGACTTGAACTGGTCTGGCATAACCTGCTGTGCCACAGTGACAGCCCTAGGCTGTGTGGTTTCAACTCTGATACTTATTTAGGTTTGCTTTATGACTTGGAAAATTTGCAGAACTTTTGCAAAGGTTATGTTCCCTGAAAATATTAAGTGCAATAATGTATATATATCCACTGAGTTAATATTGGTAGTTCTGTTTTTCAGGTGTTCCATATCATTACTGAATTAAAGAAACCTATCTGTTCTATCAATTACCAAAAGTGTGTTAAAATTTCCTGCTAAGGGCTGGCACCGCGGCTCACTAGGCTAATCCTCCACCTAGCGGCGCTGGCACACTGGGTTCTAGTCCCGGTCGGGGCGCCGGATTCTGTCCCGGTTGCCCCCCTTCCAGGCCAGCTCTCTGCTGTGGCCAGGGAGTGCAGTGGAGGATGGCCCAAGTGCTTGGGCCCTGCACCCGGATGGGAGACCAGGAGAAGCACCTGGTTCCTGCCATCGGATCAGTGCGGTGCGCCGGCGGCGGTGGCCATTGGAGGGTGAACCAATGGCAAAAGGAAGACCTTTCTCTCTGTCTCTCTCTCTCACTGTCCACTCTGCCTGTCAAAAAAAAAAAAAATTCCTACTAAGAATGGATTTGTCTAGTTCTTATTCTATTAATTTGTCTTTTTGTATATTTGTGACTTTTATGTTAACTGAAAAAATTCAGAGCAGTCATATTTTTCTGGTGCATGAAATGTTTCATTCTTATGAAATTTACATTTATAATAGTGACAAATATGATAATGATAGAACAATGTCAACATTTTTATGGTGCATTTTTCAACTTTTAATTAAATCTTCCTGTGCTTTAATATTTCCTGATTAAACAGTTTATTGAAGACATAGTTATTGGTGTAAATGAGACATGCTCAGCCCATACACATAGTTATGAATTTTCTCCGAAGGAACAAACCTTGCCAGCACTTGGATCATGAGACAGAACATGACCATCACCCTAGAGCCCTCTCCCGTCCCTGTTCAGACAGTAATCCCTTGTAATTGTTAACAGTTGTATGACATCAGATGGAGAGGAATGACTCACGGAAAGTGGAAGGAGTATGCTGAGAGATAACCACTTCAATTATGATTTCATCCTAAAGTAAAATGTGGTGATATTTAAAAATAATTTGTTCCACAAGAAAATGAAAATATATTGACTACATGAATTCCACATAGAGAAAAATTTTGTATGTGTAATTCCAAGACAAAAAGAGAGGGAGACTTCTTAGTTTGATAATATATAAAATGAAAACATATTCACATAAAAACAGACATAAAGAATTTAACTGAGAATATTACCAAGGTAACAAGAACAAACATATGATCTTTACTGTTATAAGACTTGCACAATTGAAGAAAATAATTCCCAGTAGATAACAAACAGTTGACATGAACAGTTAATTAAAGGGACAATTTCAAAAGTTGGTTAACGGACACAGGAAAATGGTCCACTCACAAATAATCAAGGAAATGAAAATATAAGCAGAGCAGACAGTTAGCTTAGAGGTTAAGATCCTTGGCAGAGGGGAGAAAGGAGGAGAGGAAATATGGTTATCTTAAAATTTTATCTATGAAATACATAAAATCTGTTTTCTATTAATAAAAATTTAAAACATCAAAAAATGTTCTACTTAGATATGTTATTTCCAAAGAAATGTAGCAAACTATAAATTTAAAAATGCTTTCCTTTTAGAGACTTTGATTGCATCATTTTTGGTAACAGTGAAAGCTTAGACATCCCCTAGTAATCCAGCAATAGCATAACATTACATAAATCATCGGCCTTTCTTCTCTGATAGTCTTACAGATCCAAATGATCATGGAGAGTTAAAAATAATATGGGGACAACTCAAGTTATAAGATTAAGTGAAAGATATAGTATATAATTGTATCTGTCATATTTTCTCAAGTAAAAGACAAAAGCAATTACATAAATGTTATTTTTCACTACTTGCTGATATTTTATAAATTTAATGAGCATGTATTTCAACATAGGCAAGAAAATGAACCAGATTTTAAAAACCAAAGAATCAGAGACTTGTCTCATTAACTAATAACCATTCCCTGTGAAGAATCTAGATCTAATTGCAGTTAGGAGATTTTGGAACAGTCTGATGTTCAATCTGTGCCTAATTACTCCTTCTAGAATATTTCTTGCTCTCTTAGTCCTAGCAAAACAAACAAACAAAAAAACCACGTGAGCTGAACAAACAAAACTGTCAGCTTTTTTCATGTGGAAGTTAATGGTTAAGAGTAAGCTGCTTCGAAGGCTGGACTTGGAAATGGTTCTTGACACTTGGAGTACTTGATCCTTCCAAGATCTTGCCAACATTTCTTGTTAGGTGGGACCTCTTAATCGTACACTGAGATGCTGATTGGATTTTCTTCCAGAATCCAAGTTCTGTCTGATGTCATTCCTTTTGTGGTTTCTACTCTTACTTGAATTGCGTGGATAGCATGTCCATTAGTCACGTCCCAGGTAGGGACAGCTGGCCACTCCCTCTCTGTGGAGTACAGCTCTGTCCTTGTTTGTTTCTGTTTCAGTCTTGCCAAGGAAGGTATGCTTCATGTTAAACCTGCTGTAATGCTGCGCATCCATCCTGCTTTGAATTTGAGTTTTTTGCAAAAATTGTAGTAGAGAAGTTCAACCAGGAAAGCATATCAAACAGTTCAGTCTTCCACTCTGGGGTAGGACCCTTACTCAATTGGACATTGCCCCACACCCAGGAGTCTCCACAATGCCTGCTTCATATCCTTGTTCCTCAGGCTGTAGATAAAGGGATTCAGCATGGGGGTGACCACTGTGTACACCACGGATGCCACCATTCCAGTGCCTGCTGAGTAGGAGGACGAGGGCTGGAAATACACCAGGAAGAGCGTTCCGTAGAAGAGAGTGACCACCGTCAGGTGGGAGCTGCAGGTGGAGAAGACTTTGTGCTTCCCTCCAGCAGAGGGGATCCTGAGGACCGTGTGCACAATGTGGGCATAGGAGAGCAGGACACAGGTGAGAGGGACCACGCCTGAGAGAACTGCTTCAGTTAACATTGTGACCTGAAAAGTGTGGGTGTCTGAGCAGGCGAGTTTGAGGAGTGGAGGTACATCGCAGAAGAAGTGTGGGATGGAATGAGAGGCACAGAAGGAGAACTGAGTCATCAGGAGCGTGAGTGAGAAAGCCAGTAGGTTGGAGCAGAGCCAGGATGCGGCCACCAGCAGCAGGCAGCGACGGGGACCCATGACCGTGGTGTAGTGGAGAGGAAGGCAGATGGCCACATAGCGGTCGTAAGCCATCACGGCCAGCAGGAAGTCATCCAGCAGGGCCCACACCATGAAGAAGTACATCTGAATGAGGCACCCAGTGTAGGAGATGCTGTGATCCTGCGTGTGGATGTCCACTAGCCCCTTGGGGACAATGGTGCAGGTGAAGCAGGTATCGACGAAGGAGAGGTTGGCCAGGAAGAAGTACATGGGGGTGTGGAGGTGAGGGTGCGAGCCAATGGCCAGCATGATGAGCAGGTTTCCCAGCAGGGTGACCAGGTACATGACTAGGAAGAGCCCCAAGAGAAGAGGCCGCTGCTGTGGGTGCTCGGAGAAGCCCAGGAGCAGGAAGCCAGAGAGGATGGTGTGGTTTCTAGTTTCCATTTACAATAGAACAATTGATGGGAAATATTGCATTTACACACATATATTCTAAAATTTATATCATTCCAGGCCTTTACTTTGATCTTCTTTGAGCTCTGTGACATTCTTTGAGGTACGCTGGTGTCTCTTGGTGGTGGGAATGTAAGATGTGTAGAAGTGGGAACTCTGGGAATTGGGGATTTTGTTGGGAGGGGAATTTTACATTTTAGCTATCTAGTAAGTTGTCATGTAGACCTTCTAGATTAGGCTGAACTGGGTATCAGCTTGGCAGAACCTTAGGTTTTAATCTCCCATCTCCCTTTCCCCTCTTTTTGATAGGAATACTAGCAATTTCATAGATATGTGAAATTTGAATAAGATGTTAGGAATATGCATTTACTAGAAAAGTATTAAGTAGGTTTCTATATGTGTCTGAAAGTATGTGTTAGGGGAGAGAAATGAAAACAATTTACATAGATGGTTCATAGCTGGGACTCAGGTATTCAGTACAATGGAAATGTCTATCCTCTTTCATTCCTAAAAGACTGATCAAATAAATGATCCAGTGTATGTAAAATAACTACAAACTAAAAAACATGGTACAAATGGAAGGTCTCAACATGATCATCTTCAACAGCATTATCAACATCCTCAGTCGTTCGAAGTGTTGGGTTTTCGCATTGTACAGACTAGAAGGAAACTTCCTTTGTCCTTTGTAGCTGTGGAATCCTCTGCAATTTATCTTCTTTTCTTCCCTGAGCTTCAGTTTTCCAGTCTGTGGAAGATGTACATATTTCATATAATTGTGGCTATCAATGAAATCATACATCCAATTTGCAAGCACAGAGTAGGCTTTCAGTAATTCTGATGGTAGTTATTAATGTTGTTAGTAGTAGCTGGTGAGGGAACTTGGAGTCCCTGATGCATTTGAAAATGTTAGGTAATAGGACTCCCAGCTCTAAACCTCAACTACCTTTTGTATTTTGGATACATACATGGTTTACTTCTTTGGAGTTTCCTTTTCTTAATTTATAAGATGCAACCTGTCACATAGGACTGCTGGAGGCATCATTCAGGACTGTTGAAAGCCAGAATCAGGTGATGGCTTTTTCAGGACCTATGATGTAAACTCGAGAATGAGTTATTTGGACTTGTGCACTGGGGTATTGAACGGACATTCCCAGGTTGTGCTAATGTCACACTCTAGGTTGTGGTGATAAAGCATTCCCTTTTGGGTCTGACAAAACTTTGGCCACCTGCCTAAGGGTTGTGACAATGGAAACTTTGCTCCTCCTGGCTTCCCTTTCTCATCTACTTGAAGAGTGTTCCAACAACGCCTAACGCAGCGTGACTGTGAGGATTCACGCAGCTGAGGATTATGCAGAACTAGAATAATGACGGACTCCTCCAGTGCTCTGGATTTTTTAGATACTCTTCTTTCTCTTGGAATGAACAATATGAAGGTGTTTCTTGGGGGTGGCCAACTAGTCCTCTGGGTTGGACCAGGACATTTCTGCTATTAGGGAAATTCCATCTTTCATCGACCCCTCCGACTGGGAAGGACTGGTCAGCCTGTATGTCACTTTTCATGGTCACTATCTGTGGAAAGTTGGGCTTTGAAAGCTATCAAGTTGAGTACACAGAGTTGAACTTGGCACTGTCATCAGTGTCATTGTCATGACTTCTGGGTGGTGATGGCTCTGACATGGTAGTAGCACAACAAGCATTCACTTTATTATGGGCAGATTCAGGTTTGAGTTCCAGCTGTACCGTCCTAGTCATGTCATTTAACTTCTCAGAGTCTCTACTGTAAAATGAACCAGAGTAAAGGACCTCGAGTGACTGTGAGGTTCAGGGGACTGGCATTGTGGCTTCATAGGTGCTGCTTCAAGTCCCGGCAGCTCAATTTCTGATCCAGCTCCCTGCTGATAACCTGGGAAGAGCGATGGAAGGTGGCCCAGGTGTTTGTGCCCCTCCCGTCCATGTGGGTGACCTGAATAAAGCTCTTCTTGGCTTTGGCCTGACGCATCCCTGGTTGTTGTGGCCCTCTGGGGAGTGAATCAGCAGATGAAAGATTTCTCTGCCTCTCCCTCTCTCTCTACAGTTATTTCAAAATAGATAGCAAATATTTTTTTCAAAAGTATTTTTAAAATTTATTTGAGAGACAGTTACAGAGAGAGATCCCCATCTGCTGATTCATTCCCCAAATGGTCTCAATGGCTGGAGCTGGGTCTATTTGAAGCCAGGAGCCAGGAGTTCCTTCCAGGTCTCCCCATGTAGGTGCAGGGGCCCAAGGACTTGGGAGACCTTCCAGTGCTTTCCCAGACCATAGCAGAGAGCTGTATAGGAAGAGGAGCAGTCGTGGCATGAACCGGTGCCCATATGGGATGCCGGTGCCACAGGCAGAGGCCTAGCTACTACACTACTAACCCTAATACATAAATCTTAGAGGAAAAAAAAAACTGATAAAAAACCTTTAAGAAGTTATCGTGAGATTCAAATTAAAAAATGAAACAGGGTTGTTGCACTGTCAGTTGTGGTAGAGATTGTTTTTGTGCCTGATAGTGACTTAGAGGGATCCGAAAGCTGCTCTTGGTCAGGGGGCTGCGAGGGCGTTTCTGTGCATGGTGTGGTGATCCTGGCTGTAGCTGTTGCAGTTAGGATGCCTTGGCCATTGCTGGGAACTGAGAAAGGGCTGATGTGTGTTGACTTCAGGCTGGATTCTCAGGGAGTTCATGGGAGGCAAGTCAAAGCCTTCATCACGGTGATTAGATGAGCCAGATTGAGGTTTGCGAGGAAGAGACAGAAAAGGAGGTGGGAATAGGGGAGAAGCTGTGTGTGTGTTCATGACTAATGCCTCCAGTCTTGACCCCCTCAACTCTTACCTGGAACTTTGTCCTGTCCTCAGATTCTGTCGTCCTCACCGGGTGTTGGATCTGCCTCCTGTATTTGGTCTACCCCCGTTCCACCTTGCTTCTCAGGAAGGTTGCTGGAGGCCTCAGTGTTCTTCTGGCCCTAACAGTAGCACAGAACAAAGGCCCAGGGCTGGGGCAGCCTGTCCTCAAGAACAGGAGCCAGGAAGAGCTGTGGGCTTTTCATGTGTAGTACCCCTTGGGATCCAATCCCGGACCTCCTAGTTAGAGACAAGATGGGGCAGATGTCCAAACTCTGAGCCATCCCCTCTGAGCTTCGGAGTACCAAGTCCCAGCAGTGTCAGAAACATCTTTGTTTTGGAGTAATCAGGTCTGGGAATCCCGAGAGCATGTCTCTTAGTGGCCCCCCTCCAGGTGAGGGAGTGGGAAGACTCCCTCTCCCACCTTAATCTGTGTGCAGTCCCCACATTCCCACATTCTTTTTTTTTTTTTTTTTGACAGGCAGAGTGGACAGTGAGAGAGAGAGACAGAGAGAAAGGTCTTCCTTTTGCCGTTGGTTCACCCTCCAATGGCCGCCGCAGCCGGTGTGCTGCAGCCAGCGCACCGCGCTGATCTGATGGCAGGAGCTAGGTGCTTCTCCTGGTCTCCCATGCAGGTGCAGGGCCCAAGCACTTGGGCCATCCTCCACTGCACTCCCTGGCCACAGCAGAGAGCTGGCCTGGAAGAGGGGCAACCGGGACAGAATCCGGCGCCCCGACCGGGACTAGAACCCGGTGTGCCGGCGCCGCTAGGCGGAGGATTAGCCTGTTGAGCTGCGGTGCCGGCCCAGTCCCCACATTCTAATCGGATTTTAACACTCGTGAAGAAAAGTCATCATCTCCCAGAAAATATATAATAAGAAATGAATGGAACAGAGTTGACGTGGGGTGGACATCACAAACATGCTTTTCAATTTCTGCAATTATATCATGTAGAATAGGTGAGCAGATGTGTTACATGTGATTCCGGAGGGCAGAGATGTGACTTATATGCAAAATATGCCAAAGTAGTAGTTCTCAGTGCAACATGACCTTAAAGTTTTAAAACTGTGAAATACACAACAAACAGTAACACATAGTAAGTTTTCTTGTGATTTATTTACCTGTGTGTAAGTCATGCATTATTTATACTTTTTTTTTCGTGAATGGAGTCATTTGATTCCTGCAGTCAATATGGTATTTTGAAACTCAGAGTGATGCTTGTAGCTATAGGTCATTCCTTTTAACTGCTGTGTAGTAAATGTTCACATTGTCCTATTCACTATCATAGTTTAAGGCCTTCCGTTTGGAACTCAGAGTTCCCAACTTTGGAAGATGATGCTGAGTATATATTATCTGTGATGTGACACAACCAGTAGGTACTGGGGTTGCACATTGTAATAAACACAGTGATGTGTTTACCAGTGTGTGAAAATGCCCTAAACAGCACTCTGACCTCAGAATCAGCCCCTAAGGCATTCGGATTTGGCTGAAAATCCCATGAGAGCATTTCAGGCATGGAAAGCCAAGGCATAGTGGCAAAAACTGTATGCATATGGCTCTGTCTGGAGTTTGTGGACTCAAAAGGCTCCCATAGCCTTGGCAGCTTATGTCAAGAGCCTTGGGTGGGGGCCAGTGCCATGGCTCACTTGGTTAAACCTCTGCCTGTGGCGCTGGCATCCCATATGGGCACCGGGTTCTAGTCCTGGCTGCTCCTCTTCCAGTCCGGCTCTCTACTGTGGCCCGGGAAGGCAGTGGAGGATGGTCCAAGTGCTTGGGCCCTGCACACCCGTATAGGAGACCAGGAGGAAGCTCCTGGCTTCAGATCAGTGCAGCGCTGGCTGTGGCAACCATTTGGGGAGTGAGCCAACGGAGGGAGAACCCTTCTCTGTCTCTTTCTCTAACTCTACCTCTCAAATAAAAAAAAAAGCCTTGGGAGGTCACTGATGTCAAAAACACGAGTGTTAATTGTTAAATCAACAACAGGAGTCACTGTGTACTTACTCCCCATGTTGGACCTCTGTCCTTAATGAGTTCTACTATGAGAATTAACGGTAAAACTTGTAATCAAACTATACTTTTATACTTTGTGCGTCTGTGTGGGTGTAAATTGTTGAAATCTCTTAGTATAGAGTTGGTCTTCTGTATATAAAGTCAATTAAAAATGAATCTTAATGAAGAATGTAAGAGAGAGGGAGTAGGAGGTAGGATGAGAGTGGGCATGAGAGGGTGGGAATTGGGGGAAAGAACCCATATTCCTAAAAGCTGTACATATGAAATATTTGTATTCATTAAATAAAAACCTTCTAAAAATAAAAACAACTAAGTATGTGAACATTTATACCAGTTCAGGTTTTACTGCAAAGCAAGTTTGCTGCAACTCTCGAAGATTTCTTTCATTGACTTTATTGATGTCAAGATTTTAGCTGTGGCGTAGTGGGTAAAGCTGCTGCCTGCGATACCAGCATCCCATATAGGTGCCAGTTCATGTCCTGGCTGTCCTGCTTCCCATCTGGCTCCCTGTTCATGGTCTGGGGAAAGTAGTGGAAGATGACACAAGTGTTTGGGCCTCTGCCACCTGTGTGGGCGACCGGGATGAAACTCCTGGGATTGACTTTCTCCTGGCTCAGACCTGGCCATTGCAATCATCTTTGAAGTGAACCAGCAGATGGAACAACTCTCCTCCCTCTTCCTCTCTCCCTCCCTCTACTTCTCCCTGTCTTTCCATCTCTAACTTTCAAATAAAATTTTTTTTTTTACAGGCAGAGTGGACAGTGAGAGAGACAGAGAGAAAGGTCTTCCTTTTGCCATTGGTTCACCCTCCAATGGCTGCCGTGGCCAGCATGCTGCGGCCAGCGCACCGCGCTGATCCGAAGGCAGGAGCCAGGTGCTTCTCCTGGTCTCCCATGGGGTGCAGGGCCCAAGCACCTGGGCCATCCTCCACTGCCTTCCCGGGCCACAGCAGAGAGCTGGCCTGGAAGAGGGGCAACCGGGACAGAATCCGGTGCCCTGACTGGGACTAGAACCCCGTGTGCCGGTGCCGCTAGGCGGAGGATTAGCCTATTGAGCCGCGGCGACGGCCAAATAAATCTTTTAAAAAGGCCAAAGGCTGACAATAATTGAAAAACTCCTTTCTGCTTACAAGTTGAAAAAAAAAAAACATTTTTGAAACCACCATTCTCTAAAGAAACATTTCCACAATAATTATCATTTCTTGTTATTGTTGATATTTTGATGATAGTACAAAGTTTAACTGGGATTTTTTTTTTCTGGATTTCTCCATATCAAGTTAGGCTAGAGTATTTTTGTAACTGAATACAGTCAAATAAATGAAGCAAATAGATCATCTGGATTCTATCGGAATCCTCTCTGCCTCCCATTGTGTGAAAGCAACCTTACTGTGTTACTGCGACGGTTGATTTTGGTCTTGGGAAATGGTCTCCTGGAATTGATGCCTACTTACCTCCATGGATGGTCCTTTTCACCTACTTTTTGAAAAACCCACTTATAAATCCCAGGCTATCTGCCTCAAATTTTAAAGTTTTAAGCATTATCACAGTCATAATAACAACCTCTGTAAGCATTTATTGTAGGTCATGTGTGTGCTACTTTCTTTCACAGACTGTCATATCATTTAATCATCATACAACCAGCTACGACTGTTTCCATTTTATAGATGATATTGTGCTTGTTAATTTGATGAAGATTACAAAAGTGGCAGCAGAGTCAGGATTTGAATCCAAAGCTGTTGCGCGCTCTGCCTTCATACCACGTCATAGATGTCTGTTGGCATTTATCTCCTGAAACAAATAGAAAACCCATGGGATGATCATTTTTCTCATTGGTGTGGCTGTCCCATCCTTTTGTACCTTGCTTTCAGACAGACCCTTGGAGAAACTTCTGGTCAGTTAAAGTCCATTTCTTCTTCTGCTACCTCTTTTTCATTTTTCCTCATTGAGGTAAGTTTATCTATTTCTCCTTTTTTGTAGCTAACCCTCTTAGTTCTCCCTGTGAAGTTGTATTTTCCGTACAACTCTTATTCATTCTATCCTCTCTATTCTTCGGACATAATTTATATTTCAGTGTTCTGAAGAGCTGGACAGTGCTTCCAATGGAGGCTTAAACAGTGATTTTATTTGAAAACTATTACCAATGAAGATGTGATGAGGGAGGAAAGATGGAGAAAAGAGGGTCAGCAGACATGATGTTATAATTATTGGAGGAGGTCTTCATACACTGGAAAGCCTCAGAAAATTTGCAACATAATGGAATGATCCTAAAGAATAGAATACTTATACTGAATTTCCAGAAATACTGATACTGAATGGAATGCCAGGTTGTATGATGGTATAACTAGTTCCCACCCTATTCTAAAACATGGAATGTTACTTGCAAAGGGATCATAGATATTTTTATATAATGTTATCATAATGGCTGGCATTTGTTATGAGTTTGATATATGCAAGACAATGTTTAAGCAATTAATACATAATTTGTATATGTCACAGACAGTTATCATATCACTGAATTCTAATAGACTAGCGTGCTTTCCCAGATCATATTTTGGGGCCCTGCCTTTCAGGGAATTTCATGGACCTAATAAGATTGTCTTGCTAAAACTCATGCAGCCATCTAAACTGATATGTTAATGTCAGTGGTTGATGAATTAAGGGCAGAGACTTGATCTGACGATGGCCTCTGAAGGTGGGACTGATGGGAGGTCTCTGGGTCCTAGGGGCATGTCCTTGGATGGTGGTGAGACATTTGATTACTTCAGTTCATGTTTAGCCTGGGTTCTCACTCTTCTTCCTGGCCTGCCATATGATCATTGCATTCTGCACCTGTTGTGACCAGCCTCATCAGATGCTGGACCATAGGGCCACCCAGACCTGTAACCTTGACTGTAAGCCGAAATGATTCTTTTATTTCCAAAGAAGCTTTTCACAGGTATTTTAAAGTAGCAAAAAGGGAATTAATACATGTGACATTATTTGAAAGATATCAGCAATGAAGATGGGATGGATGAGGAGGGGGGAAAAGAGAGCTGATGGGCATCATGTTATAATTATCAGGAGTAGCCTTCTTCATACTCACTGTAATTCCTAAGAAAGTCTGCAAAATGATAGGACCCTAAACAGAATAAGTTCACTGAATTTCCACAAATATTTTGATTGATAGAATGGGAGGATGTATGATGGTATAACTACTTCCCATTCTATTCCAAAACTCAGAATGTTAGTTGTGAAGAGATCATAGAGATGTTTTTGTGTAATATCATAATGGCTGACATTTATCATGAGCTTGCTATATGCAAGACATTATTAGCACTTAACTGTTGTATGACATATCTAATTTACATATTATCAAATAATTTACTTCTAGCAGATATCCACTTTGCATATAAAAAACCAAGGCATAGAAAGAGTAGAGTACTCTCCCCAGGGTTGGTAACTGGGTTCTGAGCATTCAGGCAAGCAGTTCAGTGCATAACTCGGGACATGGGAGGTGTGAGCCAGATATTTCAGAAAAGGAGGAGTGAAGACACTTCCAGAGAGGGGAGAAGTTGTTGTATAACTTCAGATATTTATAATCACAGTCTGTTTTAAATGAAACGTAAGAGGATTTCTCACCTTATAGCAAGCACTTTCTGCTAATTGCCAGTATCCTTTCTGCTCATCAGTCTGTGAGTGTGCGTGAGGACAGAGCTATGCTTTCTTTTGCCATCCTCACAGGATTAAATATAGTGACTGTAGATAGTTGGTGCTTCACATGTAATTGTTGAGTTAATGATGAAATTCCTAGGGCATAGTAAAATATACATATTCTACTCTGTTCTCCTAGTTAGCGTCCTCAAGGCCTGTTTCATGTCCTTATTCCTAAGGCTGTATATGAAAGGGTTCAGCATAGGTGTGACTACTGTGTAGATGACAGTGATCACACGATCCTTTGTCACTGAGTAGGTGGATGAGGGGCGAATATAGACAGATATTATGGTACCATAGAACAGTGCCACAACTGTGAGATGGGACCCACAGGTGGAGAAGACCTTGTACCTGCCTCCACCTGAAGGAACCCTGAGAACAGCACGCGTTATGTGGACGTAAGAGATGATAATGAAGATAAAAGGACTCATGATTACAAAGGAACCCTCCGTGAAGGCCAGAAGCTCATTGACGGAGGTGTCAGAACAGGAGAGCGTTAGCAGTGGCTGAACATCACAAAAGAAGTGGTGGATGATCTTGGGCCCACAGAAGGAGAGGCGGGCCATGAGAATTGTGTGGGTGAGTGAGTGGAGGTGGGACACCATCCAGGATGCTACCACCAGCAGAAGACAGCGCCTGGGGCTCATCGTCGAGGTGTAATGTAGTGGGTTGCAGATGGCTACGTAGCGGTCAACGGCCATGGCAGCCAGGAGGAAGCTGTCAGTGATTCCAAAGGCCACAAAGAAATACATCTGGGTGATGCACTGGGGAAAGAGGATGGTCTTTTTCTGTGCTAGCATGTTCACTAACATCTGTGGCACAATGACAGTAGTAAAGCAGATGTCAACCAAGGACAGGTTGGCAAGGAGGAAGTACATGGGAGTGTGGAGGCGGACATCCCCCCGTATGGCTGCAATGATGACTGAGTTGCCAACCACATTGACCAGGTACATGGCCAGGAAGGTAGCAAAGAGCCACACCTGTTGTTTGGGGTCAGTAGTCAGTCCTAGAAGGAGGAATTCGGTCATGCGGCTCTGGTTTCCTCTTGGCATTGCAGTCCTGTGGACAAAAAGAATTAGGAAAAAACATTAGGTGTGTGTCCTGGCCTGCGTCTTCAATCTTACAGTTTGTACACTGTATAGGAGGAGCCGTTCATGTAGACTGCCATACATGTAGTCTGTGATGCAGCTTCACAGGATTGGTGATGACACACTCTGATTTCACTTGCAACTTTGCAACCGGCTAATTACATGAACTTGAATAAGGTTCTCTTGTTAGTTGTCCAAAAGACAAAACTTGTAATACCCAGGTTCTTAGGCTGTTTTGAGGACAGGTATTCAGAAAATAATCATTTTGTTCAACTTCTGAAAGTGTTGTCTGTGATACATTTTCCTCCCCTTGGTCTCATTTACTGTTCTGTGGAGCATCAGCCTCCACCTGATGCTTCTGGCCAGATATCTCTCCCTCTCCCTCCCCCTCTCTCCCTCTCTCTCCCTCTCCCTCCCTCTCTCTCCCTCCCTGTCCCCCTCCCTCCCTCCCTCCCTCCCTCTCTCCCTCTCTCCCTCTCTCCTTTTCCCTCTACATAAGGAAATATTCTCCTTACAGAAATGACATACCGTTTGTAGAGATTATATTCCTGTATTGGAACTCTCTTGGAAGGAATGAACCTTTGTCATGCATTTAGGAGTTTGATTGTGGGCAGAAAGGCCAGACTAGGAGTGACTGGGACCTGGAAATTTGACATATCCATCGGGGTGTGGAATTGTCTAGGGAAGGTGGGAGATTGAAGAACTATTTCTAGCAAGGGGACCCTATTTCCCAGCACGGGGCCCTGGTTTTCAGGCAGGTGGGTAATGTGAAGGAGGACACAGAGGAACCAAGAAAGGCTGCCGTTATAGGCAAGAGTGCAAGAGCTGGTAGGATAGGAAGTGGAAATGTGAGAAGGTAATAGCATTACAGCATAGCATCCTGAGAGAGGTGAATGATAAAGTGCTGAGCTTTAGGAATTGGTTCCTTATCCCCACCAAAGGCGAGAACCAAGGAGACTAAGCCAAGGCTCAGTCCTGGTGGGACCTGAGGCACCCAGTCCTTTATCTACCAAGATGGGTACTTGGCTGAAATGGAGCAAGACCATAAACCACCAGGGTATACAGTTAGAGCAGGTCAGCCACCAATTGCATTAAAATTGAGATCAGAGAAGAAAAGACCTTACACTCTTCATGTGTACTCACCTAGGGGCAGGACTGGCTTTGGAGAAAAGAGCAGCAATAAGAACTTAGGAATGGTGGTCAAGTAATCCCAGATCGATGAGGGAAGTGTTAGAGAAACTGGTTTTGAATTAGAGAAAGTCTGCATTCTGTACCCCCTGAGTCTCCTCACCTTCTTTGACAATGAGTCAAAAGCAAATCTAAGTAGTAATGGTGGGTTTTTCATGTGCAGTGATCTTGAGTTAAATTCACTGCCCAGCTTGGGGGACTCCACACCACTTCACCTTTGACTACTTCAATAAGCATTGCGTTGTAGCATTGTTTCCAGAAGCCTCTCCTTTCTGTCTGAGATGCTTGGTACTTGGTCCAAGTTGAGTTCTTCCAGAAAGGGGCCACTAAGTGTGGGCAACATCTGGAGAGGTGCATGAGGAAAGCCCTGAGTCCAAGTTGGTTTTGCTCCCTACCTGCTGTTTCCAGTGCCTTGTGTGGTTCCTGACACGTGGTGGGTGCGTCATGCATGTTGGCTGATAGACTGAAGCAGCTTTGTCGCCTTTGCAAGACTTTGTGTTTTGTATCAGTAACTGGAAGAGCAGTCTCTTAGGGTTAGGGAGCCAACAGGAAAAGTTCATGATTTGTCCCAGAAGATTTGGGTTCTAGTTCTGGTTCAGATAGTCACTAACTATTTACCCTTAAAGGGAAAGTCTCATGTTTCCATTTTTTTTTTTCTCATCTGAAAAAGAGAGAAAGCAAAGTGTCATCTCTAGAGGCTCACTGTGGATTCCAAATAGGTCTTATGTTTGAAAAATGTTGAGATCCACAGTGTGCTGTACCAATGCTACTTACATAAGTAACAATACTTTCTGTTAGCATTCTCTACCTGTGTGTGTGCAGCTGAAAACTAGCAGGGAGGGACTCTAGAAGAAGCCAGGCGGAGGGTACAGGGGTTGGTGCGTTTGAAGTGATTGAAATAGTCGCTGCAAGAAGGGCAGGTGGCGCAGTGCAGAGGGTGAAGGAGAAGCAGGGTCTGGAACTAGGACACACTGGGCTCGCCTGGAACTAGAGGGCTAAAAGCAAGGAGCTGGCAAAGCTGCTCTGCTTTCTTGAGTCTCCACAGAATGATTCTGTTTCTTTCTCTTCCAGCTTCTGGAGAATGGATTTCTTGTCTAGTGTGCCCCGTTGTCCCTGTTTAAATCCAGGAACGTTAGGGGACTTCTCATGCTGCCATCTGTCTGGATCTTTTTAAAAAAATAATTTTGATGTATTTGAAAGGGAGAGAGACAGAGACAGAGACAGAGACAAAGGGAGATACATATATACAGAGATAGCTTCCATCCATTGGTTCATGCCCCAAATGCTCACAATAGCCAGATCTGGGCCAGGCCAAAGCCATGAGCCCAGAACTCATCTGGGCCTTGCCATGTGGGTGACAGAGATCTAACTATTTGAACCATCAGATGCTGCCTCCCAAGAGGCACATTAGCAGGAGGCTGGAATCAGAGGCACAGCTGGAATTCCAACCCAGGCACTCTGCTGTGGGATGCAGGCATCCCTTGTGGCATCTGAACTACTATACCAAACGTCTGCCCTTGGTTCTCCTCTTTTGCTTTCTTCTTCCATATTTGAAGTTCCTGTGATAAACACTTGAAGATTATGTGTTGGAATGGGTGGGTGCAATTGCATGTACGTGGAGATAAGGTGGCAGTCCAGTCCCCCTGAGAGTAAGGCATACTTTTAAACAAAAGAAGAAAAATGAAGAAAACAAAAGATATATTTCAAAAATTGCCATGCAGCTCTGAATGTTGATGCTCAAGCTGACTGTGGCTGGGGTGGGGAGAAGAAGGAGTTCAATGCACATTGCAGTTGCGATTTTCATGAGTACTGCATGATGACTAAGACAGAGGACTCTCAGGACAGCCTTTCAAGTGCTGTTCCTGCCTTACACTATCACTGTGGTTTTAAGGGGGAAATTATTTGAACTTGAAGTTTTAGTTTCTCATTTGGAAAACAGGAATGACAATTGTACCTGCTTCATAGGGCAGGTGTGAGAATTAAAAGAACCTGATGCCTATAGAACACTTAGTAGAGTGGCTATGATAAATAGGCCTTCAGTAAGTGTTAGCCGTTATATGCTATATAATGAGATTAGTTTACGGATTTGTACATAGAATCATCCCTCAGTATTAATAGGAGTTTGGTTCCAGGACCCCTGTGGATACCCGAATTCGCAGATGCTCATGTCCCTTAGAAAATAAGGCATAGGATCTGCATATAACCAATGGAATCCTCCTGTATGCTTCAAATAATTTCTATGTTCCTGATACTGTCTAATAGAGAGTAAATGTTATATAGGTAGTTGTCATGCTATATTGCTTAGGGAAAGGCATGGAAAAAAAGTCTGTATATGTTTGGTACAGACATAATTTTTTTTCTTAAATATTTTAGACCCACAGTTGGTTGAGTTTGTGTGGGGGGGAACTCAAAGATGCAAATGAGTGACTGCACGAGGGGTTGCCTGTTGTAGATGCTGAACCCTTTTCATGAAGAAACCTAATCAGACTTGAAGTTCTAGGAAGGTCCCAAGCTAGCACAGCCGCAGCGATGCCGGGTGAATTACCAGTAGAAAGCATAAATCTGAGGGAAGACACAGAAGCTTTGAGGATCCCCTGGGAATCCGGGATCTATCTAATCTGCGAGTCTGTGCGGGGGCCTATGTGTGAATGTCTGGGAGGGAGAGTAGCTGGGTGGGGGCTGTCAGGGGATACCCTGGGGAAAAGGTGGGCCTTTTCCTGCCCACATCCTTTGCTCAGGGCAGTCAAGGCTGATTGTCCAGTTCAGGAATCGGCAGCACCAGACTTGATCACCGCTGTTGGAAGAACAAGGCGGAGGCAGCTCCAAAGGCCTGCTGAGGCGAGGCCTAGGAAAGCTGTGGTGGGCTGCTTGGCTTTGCCCTCAGGCCTGCACGGGCTGCTGCCTTACAGCCTGCGAGCTCGCTCTTCACAGGGGTGCTGCTCCCTAAGTGTCTGCAGGAGGTAGAGACCCAGGACCATTCTGCGGTGCCCTGCCGCCTACTGCTTCCCTCTCCTTAAACTCATCGGAGCGGACGCCGACTTTTCCTTAGTGTTTCACACGTTACCAGAAAGAACGTTGTATGCTTAGAGAACACAGTTCCACAGCAAGATCCTCACTCACCAAGTAGGCAAAATCTTAAAGACAACAAACCAAGTGACATGACATTTGAAACACGATAGTTGGGACAGATGAATAATTTAAACATGATAAAAATGCACATGTATTTCATGTAATCCAAAATTTAAAATAAATTAAAATAACTCAACATTATAAGAATTATTTAAAATACAGATTTTCATCCATTATTTTTAGCAGTAGATATTTCTCATTTTCATGCAGATCTGTGTATTTTGTGCTGCATAGTACTACAGGCAGTGCTGGGAAGAAATAACTAAAATATTTAAAATAAGTTAATTTTTAATATGAAAATAAACATGATAAATTCATATAAGACATAAAGGAAAAATATTAGAAATGCAAAGTAAGAAAAAATAAAAGTATTATAAAATTAAGATATTGAAATAAAGATGTAATATGATAAACAGCATGATGAATCTACCTAAAGGAGTTAATGAGTTAAAAGTTCAGGTTGACGATCTCTCTCAGAAGGAGGCAAGAAGGAGGAAGAGGGAGAATATTAAATAAAAGCTAAAAGGCATAAAAATAAGGTAGAAGTACCACATTTGGGCAATAATAATTCTAGAAGGAGAGAATAATAGTAAAATGAAGAATCAAAATATTTGAATATTCAAGATAAATTTCTCAAAATTAAAGAA